CTGCAGAACTCTCCATCCATGTGACTTGTTGCTCAGGATTTGATCCCAGTGTCATTTTTGCAGAGTCAAAACCTCATTTTCAACAGCAGTCCAGCTGAAACACGGACATTGCACGTCTCTTAGGGTTCACAATTGTATTTTTTCTAAAACCAACTATGAAAAGCTTCATAAWTGAATGTGTGTTTTTAGGTGTGGTGTGTGGAGTCTGATGAGCAGCAGTACCAGAACTGGACTGTGGACAGTGGACAACACATCCTGGACATCTCCAGTCTCACAGCAGGGAAACAGTACTGGATCACTGTGGCAGCAGTGAACGGAGCGGGAGTGGGCTCGCTCAGTGACCCTCACGGATTTATCATCAGTGAGACCAGCATCTGTCTGCCTCTTCATTTACATTTGTGTCTGTAAATAACTGCATCCTKTGTTCYTGCTGTTGCTCAGACCCACAGTCAGAACAGTCMCAGACAAATGACCACATCCAGAGTCCTTCTGTGGTGTTGGACCTGCTGCAGGACCCCGTGGTGATCGGCAGCGCTGGTGCAGTCCTGTGGTGTATCCTGATGGTTGCAGCTGTTTGCCTCTTCAGACGCCACAGTAATTCTCTGTTACCTCGACACAGCAAGGCTAAAGGTTTGAGTGCAGAAAGTTTGCATGTTCCCCATTTTTAGGGAATTCTAATCATCCTGTTTTCTGGGTTTTTTTTTTGTTTGTACAGGTCTGCAGAGACTAGCCAGTGAAGACCTGATCATAAAACACAGGTAAAGAGCTTATTTTTATCCTAATGTTACATCCTGATGTGAGTACAGGGATGAAAAAGCAGAAAACAAAAACCTGGTTTTGTTTTTAAAAAGACTTCTGACCGAGCAGCATGATGTAAAACATATGGAAAAAATATCCTCTACAGGATGGCCACCCCGGATTCTCCATGGATCTCTGGGAGCTGGAGACCTCCCTTTAACAAGAAGTACCAGGACCTGTGGGCCCAGGGCCTGAAACAATCTCAAATCAAGAGCACCAGTGAGTTCCCATGATACAGTTCTAGAACTATTTCTGGAGCCACATGAGCTATAGTTATAGATGCAATAACTGAAGAAATCAAAAAGAAAAAATTGTATAGGTCTTCTGGACGGG